CTACAAGCAAGGAGCCCTTTGCTCCTGGCCGGGATGTAGCCGTGCGATAACACAAGTGTGGTGAGCCCGCTGCGCTTGCAAATGCACTTTTTAATGAAACATCACATCTTTCTTGAGGTTTTTTGCAGTAATATCCAGCTGTCAGGCAGCACCTGCCTCTGTAGGTCTCAGAATGCTTTGCAGAAGGGATGGGGATCCCTGAAGATGGAGGGTGATGCTTTTTCCGACTCCATCGAGGAGGAGGAGGAAGGATCATCAGGGAGCACTTGCCATACTTCTTCAACATACTTCAAGTTTGCTGGTGATACCAAACTGGGAGGGGTGGCTGACACCCCGGAGGGCTGTGCTGCCATCCAGCAAGACTTGGACAGGCTGGAGGGCTGGGCAAGGAAGAACCTCATGAGGTTCAACAGGGAAAAGTGTAGGGTCCTGCACCTGGGGAAGAAAAATGTCAGGCACCAGTACAGGTTAGGGGTGGATCTGCTGGAGGCAACTTCTGAAGAGAAAGATCTAGGGGTCCTAGTAGACAGCAAAATGACAATGAGCAAGCAGTGTGCTCTTGCGGCCAGGAAGGCGAACAGAATCCTGGGCTGCACAGGGAAGAGTGTGGCCAGCAGGTCAAGGGAAGTCATTCTCCCCCGCTACTCTGCACTGGTGAGGCCACAACTGGAATCCTACGTCCAGTTCTGGGCTCCCTGGTTCAAGAGGGACAGGGATCTACTGGAAAGAGTCCAGCGAAGGGCAACAAAGATGACACAAGGATTGAAGCATCTCCCTTATGAAGAAAGACTGAGAGAGCTGGGACTCTTTAGCCTGGAGAAGAGAAGGCTGAGGGGAGACCTTATTAATGCCTACTGCAGCGAGGACAGATGGCTGTCGAGGTGACAGTCACCGAGGAGGGGGTGGGAATAGCAGGGCAAGGAGTTGACTTTTTTCCCTCCAGGCAAATTTGGGTGGCAGAAGGGCTGGAGCTCCTCGGCTGAGAAGACCGAGGTCCTGTTCTCATAGGGATGGACATTGCCCAGGGCATCTCGTGGAAGTTGGCGTTACAAGGGTTGCTGAAAAGCGCAGCTCCAAGCTGTCATTTCAGGGAGGAGCAGAAATTTTATGAATGAGCAGCCCAGTGTCAGCCCTCGGCCAGAGGACAGGCTGCCAAGCAGCCTCCAGCATCTCCTGCGTCAAGCCCATAACTCCTGCCTTAACGCGACCCTGGCTTTTAGAAAGGTACTGCACCTCCCTCCCCTCTTCTCCAGGCTCTCTCCCTAAATCTCGCTGGTTCTTTCTGCTCATTCACTGCTGAGATATCCCCAGGGAGGCTGTGAGGACATCTCCCATGTCCTTCACCCCCTTCCTCTGTTGGAAGTCCAGCCGCTAGCTCATTCCCTGGCCCTCTTAGCAGGGTGGATGCATGTTTTGATGGCTGGGTGCGTTCTCCAGCTGCTCAGTGAGACTGTCTACAAGTCTGCTTTTCTACAAGGGGCAAATCGGGTGTGTTACTCAGGGTTTGATATTGGGTCATTTCTTTTTAAGGCTTTCTGAGGGAAGGTGGTGCACTTGGGTTTCTTTGTAGCATCTGGGAACGGGTCTTGATGCCAAGGAGAAAATCCTGTGAGCATCCCTGTACACCACGGCACCTCAATGAATTGCTGAGCTACCTTCAAGGGCTCCCATGTGAATTAATACTTTTTTAACTGGCCCCACACAGACAAGGTCCCAGCAGGTCATGCAGCCACCGAAGGCAGAGCTGTCTCCCTGTCTTTGGGCTTCAAACTAAGATGTTATAGAGTCATAGAATGATTTCGGTTGGAAGGGACCTTTAAAGGTCATCTAGTCCAACCCCTCCTGCAGTGAGCAGGGATGTTTTTATAGTTATAAACTATAAAATCTCAAATCTACAATCCTGGAGGATCCACCACTGAATGCTCACCATGTTCTTCCTCCGCATCGGGGACATTGGAGTAGAGAGACATCAGGGTAGTTGGGTTCTTGGCCATCCAATGCCAATGGTGTCCTAGTGGAAGATGCATCTACCTGTTGCCCCAGTCCATTGTATGCAGCCCACCCAGGGTGGTCCTCTCTTGGAGTTCAGATTGTGTTTATTTAAAGGCCTAATTGCCCATTTGCACAGTTATTTTCATTCACTGTGTCTGAGGGTGTGACCTGGGCCACTCTAGGTGGTTTGGGGAAAGGTGGGTGGCTGGCACAAAGCACCCCACCAGCTGCTTTACCAACTGATCCTCAGCAGCAGAGACCTGTGGAGCAGCCAACAAGGGGGGTTATTTTGGGTTCACTCTGAGTGATGAGCGCTTGTACTTGCTCATCAGGCTGATAACTACCGTCAATTAAAACCTGTGCTTTGCTCTCCTGCTTTGCAGAAGTGAAGTGTTTTTGTCTCTCCCAGACAAGAGGAGGCTGGCTGGGAGGGTGATGCTCCCAGAGGATTGCTCTGATCATCACAGGCATTGGTTTAGCTCCCAAACGCCTACTTTCCTTCAGCTAATCCTAGCGATTCATTAACAAGGGATATGACACCACTCCTAAATTCCTGCCCAACTGTAAGTGATCACATAATCCCTGGGATTTGGGATGTTTACAGATTAGCTGCTTCCAATTAGCAGCTTCTGTGTCCCACCCCACGTGATGATACCACCGTAAGCATATGGTTTCTATATATCTCACTGGGAGCAATGAGTTAAGTCAGTTTGCTGGATGCATCTGCCTGCTGGATGGGGGGCACACTTTGTTTTACCATGGATGGTGTTGGAGACCACAGTTGTGGTTATGTGGCACAAAAAAACCTATTTTTTAGGCAACCAGGCTAGATGTTTCCAGACTACAGTCACTAATGGTCAACGTTTTGGAGAGGATTGACATCCCATTTTGGGGAGAGAGGAGGATTGTACATGGCTGTTATAAATAAGTACAGAGAAACTTTAGGGATGTAGCTCCTGAAGAAGGTCTGTGATTTAGTAAAGGAGAACAATGTAGAGCACCCCCTTCCCTTGTGGCTGCTGTGGAACCAAGGTGACTGGATCTGCGGGGTGGAGGGATGAGGACCCGACCAAAGAGATTGATACCCAGTGACCACACAGCAGTGGTGATGGAGAGGGGCTGCTCTCTCTCTGGGGGGCATTTGGGCAATGGTTTCTTGCTGTCATCTGGTTTGCTAAATTCACGTCTCTGCCCTGGAAGCTAGACACTTGTCAAAACAGAATAATTAATCCTGTGTCAAGCCCATAACTCCTGCCTTAATGCGACCCTGGCTTTTAGAAAGGTACTGCACCTCCCTCCCCTCTTCTCCAGGCTCTCTCCCTAAATCTCGCTGGTTCTTTCTGCTCATTCACTGCTGAGATATCCCCAGGGAGGCTGTGAGGACATCTCCCATGTCCTTCACCCCCTTCCTCTGTTGGAAGTCCAGCCGCTAGCTCATTCCCTGGCCCTCTTAGCAGGGTGGATGCATGTTTTGATGGCTGGGTGCGTTCTCCAGCTGCTCAGTGAGACTGTCTACAAGTCTGCTTTTCTACAAGGGGCAAATCGGGTGTGTTACTCAGGTTTTGATATTGGGTCATTTCCGTAAGCATATGGTTTCTATATATCTCACTGGGAGAAATGAGTTAAGTCAGTTTGCTGGATGCATCTGCCTGCTGGATGGGGGGCACACTTTGGTTTACCATGGATGGTGTTGGAGACCACAATTGTGGTTATGTGGCACAAAAAAACCCATTTCTTTAGGAAACCAGAGTAGATGTTTCCAGACTACGGTCACTAATGGTCAACGTTTTAAAAAGGACATCCCATTTTGGGGAGAGAGAAGGATTGTACATGGCTGTTATAAATAAATACAGAGAAACTTTAGGGATGTAGCTCCGAACTATAAAATCTCAAATCTACAATCCTGGAGGATCCACCACTGAATGCTCACCATGTTCTTCCTCCGCATCGGGGACATTGGAGTAGAGAGACATCAGGGTAGTTGGGTTCTTGGCCATCCAATGCCAATGGTGTCCTAGTGGAAGATGCATCTACCTGTTGCCCCAGTCCATTGTATGCAGCCCACCCAGGGTGGTCCTCTCTTGGAGTTCAGATTGTGTTTATTTAAAGGCCTAATTGCCCATTTGCACAGTTATTTTCATTCACTGTGTCTGAGGGTGTGACCTGGGCCACTCTAGGTGGTTTGGGGAAAGGTGGGTGGCTGGCACAAAGCACCCCACCAGCTGCTTTACCAACAACTCGGGGCTGCACGGTGGGGGTGCTCTGCTCCCGTAAAACCTGTATACACTCAACTTGCAGGGGTTTTCTTCTCCTCCTTTGCCTCCAAAGGCTGTGTTTTTCCCAAATGAATTACAAATTTGCTAGAAAGCAGGACACCAGTTATAGTCTCCTACTGTTTTAAATTGGTAGAGGGGAGTTTCAGATTAGATACCAGAAAGAAATTCTTTACTGTGAAGGTGGTGAGACACTGGAACAGGTTGCCCAGGGAACTTGTAGATGCCTCATCCCTGGAAGTGTTTAAGGCCAGGCTGGATGGGGCCTTGAGCAGCCTGATCTGGTGGGAGGTGTCTAGAGGGGGTTGGAACCTGATGATCTTTAAGGTCCCTTCCAACTCTAACCATTCTATGATTCTATGTTCCTGTTTTGGTGCATTTAGTCAGCTCTGGGGGAGGTGGGAGTCCCATGTCCAGGGGATCTGCAAGGTATCCTTGAGCTTTGAGGAGTCATCCATCTTTCCTCGTTTGGATGCAGGATTCTCCCTGCCTGTTTAAATTGGTGATGGAGCACATTGATACCTCCTGGAGTGAGACAGAGGTGCTTCATGGGACTATAAACAGTGGAGTCTAGTGATGTAGGACGGCCAGATCTGGGGGAAGGCAGATACAGAGGCTGGGTGGTTGTCTCTAGCCATGATGTCTTGGTCCTGCCACCCAGATGCTGTGGAGGAGGATTGGGTGCCCCTGGCCAGACCCTGCCCCGTCTCACTCCCATTCTCCCTGTCCTCCCAGGGCCGGTGGGAAGGATGTTTTCCTCAGTGAAGCCATACGAGAACCAGCGCTACGCCTCCCTGAAGAAGGAGTGTCAGAGGCGGAAGCAGCTCTTTGAGGACCCGCTTTTCCCCGCCAACGACGACTCGCTCTTCTACAAGTCAAGGATCCAGGGCATCCAGTGGAAGCGGCCCAAAGTAAGTGCGCCTGTCCCCTTGCCACCTCTTCACTGCTTTACACCATTTCTGCCCTCAGGCATCCCCAAAAATTCACAGCGCATCCTTCACCAAGCCCCAGCCAACACCTCCTCTCCCCATCAGGGTTTATTTGCCTGGGCTCAGCATTGTACACTTCTTGGGATGCTGGGGAGACCTGCTGGACCCAGGTCTAGCTGTTCTGCCCCCAGTGAGGTCAAGGAGCAAAGGAGGCTTCTCTGTGACTCAGTTTCCCCACGCATAAAAGAGAAAGATGTTTTGCAGCCAGGCTGGTGTTGGATGCTCTTGTTAAGCTTGGTGGGTCCAGACGGGCAAAGGGTTGTCACTGAATACTCTTGGTGGTCGCTTTGGAAAGGGAAAAGGTGATGAGCTTTGGATAGGTGAGGTGGTTTTGGGGTCTTTGAGAGGCAGGTGGTATAACCCGTCCTTCCCATCCTGTACAAAACCCATGTCTTCCACGTGTCCTCTGCAAAAAGCACTCTGCCTGTCCTCCACGCTGCCGTGTCTGTCTTGGAGGCAAGCTGTGGGAGGCTGGGGGCAATGTTGCCTGTCCCCAGTGCTGCCTGTCCCCTCCTTCAGCTACCCAAAAGATGCACACTGGGGCCTGAGGGGCACTATGTTTTGGGAAATTTGTGTGCCCTGGCATATTTAAAGGCCTAATTGCCCATTTGCACAGTTATTTTCATTCACTGTGTCTGAGGGTGTGACCTGGGCCACTCTAGGTGGTTTGGGGAAAGGTGGGTGGCTGGCACAAAGCACCCCACCAGCTGCTTTACCAACTGATCCTCAGCAGCAGAGACCTGTGGAGCGGCCAACAAGGGGGTTATTTTGGGTTCACTTCAGCTCTGAGTGATGAGCGCTTATGCTTGCTCATCAGGCTGATAACTACCGTCAATTAAAACCTGTGCTTTGCTCTCCTGCTTTGCAGAAGTGAAGTGTTTTTGTCTCTCCCAGACAAGAGGAGGCTGGCTGGGAGGGTGATGCTCCCAGAGGATTGCTCTGATCATCACAGGCATTGGTTTAGCTCTCAAACGCCTACTTTCCTTCAGCTAATCCTAGCGATTCATTAACAAGGGATATGACACCACTCCTAAATTCCTGCCCAACTGTAAGTGATCACATAATCCCTGGGATTTGGGATGTTTACAGATTAGCTGCTTCCAATTAGCAGCTTCTGTGTCCCACCCCACGTGATGATACCACCGTAAGCATATGGTTTCTATATATCTCACTGGGAGAAATGAGTTAAGTCAGTTTGCTGGATGCATCTGCCTGCTGGATGGGGGGCACACTTTGGTTTACCATGGATGGTGTTGGAGACCACAATTGTGGTTATGTGGCACAAAAAAACCCATTTCTTTAGGAAACCAGAGTAGATGTTTCCAGACTACGGTCACTAATGGTCAACGTTTTAAAAAGGACATCCCATTTTGGGGAGAGAGAAGGATTGTACATGGCTGTTATAAATAAATACAGAGAAACTTTAGGGATGTAGCTCCGGAAGAAGGTCTGTGATTTAGTAAAGGAGAACAATGTAGAGCACCCCCTTCCCTTGTGGCTGCTGTGGAACCAAGGTGACTGGATCTGCAGGGTGGAGGGATGAGGACCCGACCAAAGAGATTGATACCCAGTGACCACACAGCAGTGGTGATGGAGAGGGGCTGCTCTCTCTCTGGGGGGCATTTGGGCAATGGTTTCTTGCTGTCATCTGGTTTGCTAAATTCACGTCTCTGCCCTGGAAGCTAGACACTTGTCAAAACAGAATAATTAATCCAGAAGCACGTGGCACTCTGCCAGCAGGCCTTTTTTAATTAAAACCAGATCTGATAAAGTCTACTGAGAAACTGGCGTCCCTGTAGAAATCATGAAATGTATGACTGTAACTCGGGGCTGCACGGTGGGGGTGCTCTGCTCCC